AATGCTAGAGCTTTCCTAAATTTTCCTCTGGCATCTCAGCTGCTTCCTCCTGCTAAGCCCAATTACCTGTGGTCAGCACATCCTGTATCCGCAGTTCTCCAAATTGTCTAAAAGAGCAGGAGTGGAAATTCAAGTTGAGGATGGTAATAATGAAAAAAATAAAAATACTGCATTTTGTGAACTTTCTTGATCTAAGAAGGTGGCATCTATGATAGTTTGAAAGGTATTTCAAATTTCAGTTGCAGGTTTCTGAACAGAAGGATGTGATGTATGGCCAATATTGTATTAGGTTTAGACCACACTCAAAATGTAGAGTTTCTAGCTAAAAGACATGAAATGAACTCATGAAAGAAAATGTTTTCTTTCTGGGGAACTGAAATATCAAAAATTCTATTACGTAAAACCAAAAATCAAATTAAAGAATGATGTTGTAAGAGCCTGGGCAGCATTTTCCACGTCTGTCCCTGGTAATGGGGTTTGTGATGCACACGGCTACACCGTCTCAGTGGGAGAGCGCAGGGCACCTCCTGAGGGAGCTCAGCAAGAAGAAAAGGTGCTAAAGCATCCAAGCAGCAACTCCTGGGGTCACCGGCAAAGCAGATTTAAACACTGGTGGGGAGTTCAGCTGAAAGAAAATTGTTTTATCAAACCAAACGGAGATAAAACATTCTGCTCTGTGCGTGTCTACCCCAAGCTAAAATGCTGCATTGTATTTGCCAAGTGGAAAATTGAGACATGGAGAGAGCTTCTCTGAGTTTATGAAAAGAAAATATGATTTTAGTGGAAAGGTTTTATGCATTGCATTTTCTGTTGAAGCTGTATTTTAACAAGAAATTCCCTTTCATCTGTAATTGGAACACATTCTTTCATGCCCGCAACCTAATGTGTAGGTATTTTTAACATCAAATTATTATGTTCCTAGTCAGCTTTCATTCATTATTTACTAAAGCAAAATATTAAGGATTGCACTTATGCAGCTGATTAAACCAGTAGTTCTGAGAAGTAAAGTGTCATTAACTAAAGCAGTGTTTTAAAAGGTCATGATAACAAAATCTTTAATCGTTGAGGAATGATCTAAGATTAGAATATGACTAAAAATACGCTTTCCTTTCTTGGACAATCTAAACAGCACTGGTTGCGTTTTTTATTTATACCAATATTAGTCACTGATTCATTAATATGAATTTTATTTGATTTTACATGAATTTTATGGTTTTCTTTCTAGCCACAGGCAGGAGTTGTTTGATTGCTGGCTTCTTATTCTAAGCAAAAACAGTGGAGTTACTTAGAGAAGTGTATTAACAGTAATATATTCTACAGCATTTTGAGCCCAGAGGACCTGAAAACTTGAGTGTATTGCCAGTACCCTTTAAAGAGTTGGAAATATTCTGTAGACAGAAAATAGGGATGGGGAGTAATTGTAAGGAAAGTGAGTTTACATTAATCTTTGTACTACGTCCATAAATCAGAGGTGATAAATGTGTTTTCCCTAATGGATTCAGAAGGATTTTCAGAAGCAAACAGTGAACAGGATTTCAGATAACGAGTTGACTTCATAAATAGTTTTCTCTGGTGGAAAGAAATATATGTTATCACAAAGGCTCATTTTTTTAATCAGTTTGGACAGGTCATGCTATGCTGTGGCGTACTGTGCTTGTGCTGTAGATGTGTCTGCTCCAGTTCATGCAGCGCCCAGTCACAAACTGGCCCAAACTGGAGGAAGCAGAGGAAATGTCTTTGTCCTGCCTGTGTTTTTCCATCTCTTCTGCGGTTCTTTGCTCTGTGCGTAGGCACTGCTCCCTCGCGTGCAGGCGGCGGTGGTGACCCTGTGTGTGGCTGGGAGGTGACGTCCCTGTGGTGCCACAGAGGGTCACAAGCTCTCCTCTGCGAGGAGGTGCCACCGAGTGTTGGGAGAGGGGGAGCTGTCACATATGTCCCTGCTCAGTTGTTGTGGGAACATGTTGAAAACCAGAGTCAGATAAATTTAACTGGACAAGCAGGCGACATGTTCCCTCCAGTTGCTGCCACTTTGGCCTGAAAACCCTAAATGCTGTCCCCAGAGGGACCAACCTGCTGGGTTGCTTTGATGCCATCTCCTACAGCAGCCTTGATGCGCGCTGGCACTTGCTCCTGATGTTCTTGACTGGTTTGAATACGATAATGAGCTTGCAGGCAGGCTCTCATGTTTTCCTGTTTGTGTTTTTACTGTGCTTCATATATTTTCTGATCTATTTTTTTCCTATATCTTTTCATGTAGAAAGAAGAAAGGATGCAGTCATTACTTCTCAGCCTCCTGGTCTTTGACTTGTTAGTGACCACAGCCCAGGGGTGGCTGTGTGGTGATGTCTTTTGGCAATCACCTCAGCTGCTTGTGTCAGTGTTAAGGAGCCATATCATTTCTAGATGCTGAGAATTTTGGATCTGTAATGTCAGTATCTGTTTTAAGGAAGGTATTTGAGCAAAATAGGCTTAGTTAGTATGTGCATTACTTGGTTTCTCCGGGTTCTCAGTGGTGTATGTACCTGGCAGCACCTTTCAGTTAACCATCAGTCAATAACAGAGGAGGCTTTAGCACCTCAGAGATAACTTAAAGGCTGATTTAGGTTCTTGGTGTAACTGAAGCAAAACTAAAAAAATCCCTCCTGAAGTGACACAACTTGTGTCAGAGGCAGCAGTTCCCGAGTGTCTCCTCTGTGCTGTGCGATGAGTCCACCAGCCCTGCATTCTCACCATTCCTCCTCACCACCTCCCATCTGATTTAGGAGATTTTCTTTATTTCTTGGCTTTGATGGGCTCAGCACAGGCACTGATGGAGAGGCTGTGTCCATGGAAGTTCTCAGATGTTTTATTGTGCGTTTTGCTTTGGAAAGTCTCCTGAGGGAGCCTGGGGCTTTGCATCCCACCACTGAATGGTGCCTGTCCCATGGAGATGGAGCACAGGATGCTCCCGGCAGCATAGGTGGTTGTGCTCTTCTCTGCTCTCTCAGTTTGTAGGTAAATTGATGGCTTCAGTCAGTGTAAGGGCAGTTTCCCAACTCCAACATGTTATTACCAGTTATACTTCAGTGTTGACAGCTCACTCTGGCTGTTCAAAGCACACACCTGAAGCTGGTCCTCGCCCCAAGGACTTTCATTAAAAGGAGGCTTTGCAAGTTACTCATGAATTCCTTCTAAAACCAAGTAAATCTGCTGGTGAGTGATAGCGTTTGTGTCTCTCATGATGTAGAACCAAAATGAAATGGTAGGTTACTGCCTGTTATACCTGATGTTCATCTCCTGAGCTAGGAGTCACTGGCACAGCTGGGGGATGAGGGATGCTCTCCTCTAATAAGGAGCCTGCTCTCCCTTCGATGTGGGATTTTTGGTGAGTGGGGCTATAAGCTATGTCCCCAGAAGCTTCTGGTATCACTTTTACATTTAGAACTGTGATTTTTGTCACTTGCTCTTCCACTGGGGTGTGAATGGGGCACTCAGCAGGTAGAAAATTGGCCCAGAATGTGCCTCTTGGGAATGGAGGATGTAGATTTTTAGTTATGGTGAATAGCTGCACTCACTCTGATTTCTGGTTTAAATCAGATTCCTTCACATATGTCCTGGTGCCCTCATCCCATCGGCAGTGAGTGTTTTAAGTAGGTATTTTGTCCTTTTAGCAGAAGCAGGCAGCAGCCCCCTCCATGAAGAACCGATCCCTCCGCTGAGCTGGGAGACACAAAACCTTTCCGACAGCTCCCGCTGCACCACGTGAACGCATCTGAACGCCTTCCCCCGAGGTCTGCGCATGGTGACAGACCCTGACAGTCCCAATCGGTGCAAAAACATGCAAAAGCTGCTTCCTACTGCCAGGGGAGTCCAAAAAGTATGGAAGGAAAACAGGTCTGCCTCCCTGGGGCTGTGTGTTAGGTGCTGGAGGTCTGTGAGCTGCAGAGGTCAGACTAGTGTGGTTCAAAAACCCAAATAAATGGTTTTCCTCTCTTTGTTAGAAATTTTGTTAAGCAAGAAAATGGTTGCTGAGCATCCAGCTGAATCCAAGACCCCACCCTGGAAGTCAGTGGGTTTACTTTGATTTTATACAAAAGCAGAATTTGATTTGCAATCTTTAGGAGGAAAGGAAAAAAAAGCTTCCCGTCCTGCACTGGCTTAGGCAGGTGACTCATTCACATGGGGAGGTCAGAAACCAAGTGCTGTGCTGAAAAATCAAAGCATCAAGGCATTGCCAATGGAGGTATCCTCATCACAAGAGATGACAGGGACAGAAAAGAGCAGGTCTTTCCAGAGGACAAAGGTGCTCTCACCACATCTGCACCTATGTGTGACTCCCCCAGTCCCCGGGGTCTTTTCATGGTACACAGATCCGTTTTCCTTTCTTTCTTGTACTTTTCCAGGTTCTGGTGATGCTTGGGCTAGATGGCCCATCCTCCCCTCAGAAGGATGTGGGCGTTCAGGGCACCCAAGGGGGCAGGGCAGCCTGGCCAGTGGTCCCTCTGGCTGGTGGCAGCATGCTCAGGCTCAGACCCTCAGGAGTAGATTTCATTTCCCCTCATTCCTCCTGCTGATCTAACTTCTGCTCGCCACTAATTTGCTCATCCAGATGTGTCCAAGTGGGGAGGAAGGTGCTGGGAGCTGTGGGGAAGCCTTGCAGGCTGTTTGCAAGCTCTGGCTGTGCTGTACGATTTTTGTGCGTGGAGATTTTAACCCTTCACACTACACTTGAGGCTTCCAAGGGGGATGGCTGCATTTTAGAAATCAAAATAACTCCTTTCCCAATGATCTGTTTCATGGTGCCTAACACGTGTGGGGGCAAACTAACACCAATGGTCCTGCTGGCTTTTCCTGCTCATGTTCTCTGCCAGCCATTCTTTCTCCATTCCTGTAATTTCTTTGGTTCAACCCTCTGACACCCTGTCTCAGCTAATTTTCTCTCTCTCCTTTTTTTTTTTTTAAATTGCTTTTTAGGGTACTAGAAGTTGGATACTAACTTTTCACCTTCCTCCCCTCCTTAGCAAGCAGCAGAACTCCTCCAAATCTAAGTCCGTTTGGGAGCAGAGGACCAGCCAGATCCGGATGCACAATTTCCGTGCCAGCTGTGAGGCGCTGTACAATGAGCTGGACCCAGAGGAGCGGGTACGTTACGCCACCACACTCCACATCAGACCAGACATGAAGACTCACTTGGATCGACCACTCGTGGTGGAGCCGAGGAGTGAAGGGAGGAACAACATCAACAAACTGAGCCCTGTGGACGTGCAGGAGGTGGAGCAGACCAAAGTCAGCTCTATGGATGGAGCAGAAGCTCCGCGAAAGCACCACCGGCATCGGGATAAGGAGAAACTGGGAGAGCAGGAGAAGGGTGATGTGACCAAGGATGAGAACGGGGAAGCCACTGCCAACAATAAGGAGGAGCGGCACAGGCAGCACAGGAGCCGCAGCAAGGAGGTGGAAGGGGGCAGTAAGGAAGGGAAGAGCGAGCGCAGCAGGGGTCAGGAAGGGGGAAAGAGGCACCATCGCCGAGGGTCGGTGGAAGAAGGTGCTGAGAAGGAGCACCGTAGGCATCGGACTCACCGGCACTCTGCCGAACGGCAAGGCAAGGAAGGCAACGGGACAATCAACGGGGCCAGGAGCGAGCGGCGTTCTCGACACCGGGGAGGGTCGAGGACTGGGAACCGGGAAGGAGAGCCTGGGTCCAAGGGTGAGAATGGAGAAGAGCCTCACAGACGGCACAGGTTGAGGAACAGAGCGCTGTCGACGTACGATTCGGTGGAGAAGGAGAACGGGGAGAAAGAGGGGGAGGCTGGCGAGAAAGAGCATCGGAACCATCAGCCCAAGTGAGTGAGTGTTGCGTGGCCAGACTTGACCCTGGGACAGCTCGGGGGGCGTGAGACGTGTTTCAGGAAATTACTTATTGTCCTTCCTATGGCATTCCCTGCTGTTGTTCTTGCACTCACACTTGCTATGTTTGAGCACGTTTTGATTAAATCGGTAATGACAGAGGCTCCCAAAGATGATTTCAGTCCACGATGACCCATAGAGCAGCTCAGGCTTAAGGAAAGCAATAACTTTGATGTAAATACCATCAGACCCTCTAGGACTTAACTTGGAGCGGAGTTTCATAGCCTTTGAAGGAAGTTTCTGAGGGACGTGCTTTTAAATAGCATCCAGTCTCACTTCTAGCCCTTTGGTTTTCTCTTTTTTACGGGGAGCCTGTCAGCTGCATCACCAGTTGTTACAGCACGTGGCCTCCTCCATTAAGAGCAATGATGTACCCCATTTGGTTTAATTCTTATGTAAGTCAAGTGAGAAAAGTAGTACTCGGGAAGCATTTGGAGTAGTTAATAAAGAAGGATAGATTGCCTTTTCAGCTTTATTAGTTTGATGGAAAAGAAATTTCCCTGGGATTCTTTAGAATAGAGTTCATGTCACCATGGAGAGCTGTGAGTGGCACTGAGATAATAATTTTCCTGTCTGTATTATCTTCCTTTCAGATAGATTTCAAAACACTTTGCATGCTGTTTAGTTCGATCACGCGCACAAGCTCCCTTTTCTCCTCGCTGAAACACAGCCACTGCTACAGAGGAATGCAGAGGCTGCTCAGCTGCTTTCAGCAACGTTACAGGGTGGTTTAGGACTGGAAAAGAGAATCACTAAATTTAAATAAGGCCTCAGGAGAACATTACGAAGCAGCCTTCATTCAGAGACCAGCTGATGCTGGAAAGCTAATGCTATGGTTACATGCAAGAGCCATGTGGTCCTTGCTTATGAACCTCAGTTCCGAGTCTCATTAAACTGAATAAAGTGACTTTCAGTGGCTCAGTTCCTCATAATGCTGTGCTTGGATGTTGGCTCAGAAGGTCGAAGGTCTCAGGGGAAAAGTTCCCATGCTGTGCTGTCTGTAAGTAAGTTATCCTGCAGCCTGTGACTTTTCTGCAAAGGACCTGCATGGAGAAAAAAGTCCATGGAACATAGCAAGTGGTGCAGCATCAGGGTACGTGTGCTCTCTGAACCCCTCTTGAGCTGTATTTAGTAAAATCTGCTTTTCTACCTTAGGGAGAATCAGTGTGAGATTGAGGCCAGTGGCAGTGTGAGTGTCCCTGTGCACACCCTTCCCAGCACCTACCTGCAGAAAGTGCCGGAGCAGCCCGAAGATGCTGACAACCAGAAGAACGTGACGCGGATGATTCAGCCACCTCTGGACAAAACCACCACTGTGAACATCCCTGTCACCATCACTGCCCCGCCAGGGGAAACCACTGTCATACCAAGTGAGTGCCTTTGTCCTCCTGCTTTTTGCTATTAAATTGCCAGAAAAGAGCTTAACTTCCCAAGGAGCAAGCAGTACAAGTTGGTGATGAAGGCTCTCCTGGCCACCAGCATCCTTGCAATAGGTGGGCAGGAGAACTTGTTGATACAGGCTGTACCATTCATGCAGCCTGTGGGAGCTCAAAATGGGTTCCTGGGTCACCTGGTGACTCTGGAAAATGCCATATAAAGTTCCCTGGAGATGGCTCACCCAAAGAACATATTTGCATAAGAGAAAGATGAAGAAGCAAGAGAAACAGCACAATGTAGGAACTGAGAGCCGTGCAGCAAACCAGTCAAGACCTTGTTGTGAGCACAGAAGGAGGTCCTCTGTTTTCCACTTTTCTGCTGCCATGCTGCAAGCTCCTACACCAACAGTGCTGTGTTATGGGTCCTCTGGTGTCCCAGGGGCCCATCTGACCAAAGACCCCTCAGCAAAGGACAAGGGTGGCAGTGGCATTGCATTGAAGCCCACAGACCAAATTCATGCTTCTTGGCTTTCTAGCTGTGGAGCAGCAGGTCTTCCCTGGCTTCACAGCATCCATTGCATGACCCTGCTGTGTTGGATTCCTGCAGACTGTGTCGTTTTAGAGCTTCTTGCAATCCTCTGCATCTCAGTTTCAGCACATTTCCCCTAGCTTGTCCTTCTCTAGAGCCCTGTGCCTTGGGTCTGTCAGCTTAGATTTGCACTGTTCTGCAGATGGTCCCAAGAGTGTAGTGCCCACGGGCTGCTCTGCAGCCACCAGCCTGTCCTGACCAGCTCCTGGCTCGTAAAACAGAAGTCACGGGAGCTGGAGGTACCAAGGAGAATGGCAGAGGAAAATCTAAGAGGTCCACATTAGATTGCAAGCTGCCAGGACTCTGCTCTCCAAGAGGCACAGTCGAAAGCTATAATTTTTTTTCTTTCTACTACTTTTTTCTTAAATGGTAATTTGACTATATTGAAAAACTGAGTTCCTGTCAATCACAGTTTATCAGCCTCTCTCTTTCCTGGCCTTTTCCTGTGTATCTGGCTTCAGATACAATAAGGAGTTTATTGAACATGTCACTCACACACAATGAAATGTCATTTTGTTGCAAAATAAAATAAAAAGTAATAAAACCCCTGCACCTAACACATTGTAAGTGGGTGAAGTTTTTGGAATTTAGGTCCTGTGAATTAATAGACAAGTATATGTATATCTATCTGAGAAAAGAATTTGCAGCACAAAATGTTTCCCAGTTCATATATTGGAAATTATCTTAAATAAATTATCCTGTGAACCCACTGCAAGTAAACTTTTGATTGAAATTAGATAATTTATTTCTAACCTTTGGAAGTGAGGTTCAGAACAATCTAGAAGGTGGTCATGTAAGTTAAAAACCTGATGTGAGCTCAACACCGTTATCCATGGGAAGCTCTGCCAAAACAAGAGTGCACTACGCAGGCACAGAGCGAGAGGGTCCAAGAAGTCCCTACCAAGTCTCTGTCCCTGATGCTGGGAAGTTCAGCAGTCTTAACCCCAGAATTACTAAAGCTCATCTATGAAATTGCTCTTTTATATGTTCCAAAGACATTCTTGCTGCTGATCTGTGGGAAAAGATACAGAATTATGAGGTTGGTTAGACTAAAAATCTTTCTGAGTTTCCAAGCATCCCTCTCTCCCTGATGACTTCTTGTATTTTGGAATGGGATTTCCAGCCCCAGTTTGGCAGCTCTTATATAAATAAGTGCAAGGTTTCTTTGTTTGCCTGCACTGGGCATCTTCATTTCCGGGCCTTTTCTGATATATTGCTCATCTGCACAGCAGTTAAGGAGTATAATTGCAGTGTATATCATACTGTAGTAAATAGCGGTGATAATAATCAAATGATTGTTCATCACATTTAATCAACGTATTCAAAGGCTGTTTGCTATCCCAGCTGCATTGTTTGCATATCCAGCTGTTGTAGGCAGCCTGCTGTGTGAAGACTGCAGATACATTTTTAACGCTCTCCTTTCTGTTTCTTTAAATTCCCATTTCAGTGAACAACGTTGAATTTGAAAGTAAAACAGAGGAGAAGAAAGACGTCGATGACTTGGCAAAAAGTGGGCCTAAACCAATCTTGCCTTACAGTTCCATGTTTATCCTGAGTCCTACAAATCCGTAAGTCCTCTGCCTCTATAACACCCCTTATGGGTTACAGGTACTTCAAGCATGGGTATTCAGTGCAATAACATTAACTTGATCTTCATCTCTGCCAGTCAAACACATTGGGAAATTAAATAAAAATCTTATGTAGGCTGCAGTCCAGATGCTGCCTTTCAGCTGGGCTTCCCTAGGGGAATAAATTGCCAGCATAGGGAAAAGATGATGCTTTACGCAGAGCCTTCCTAACAGCACTGTTGATGGTCTGGCCGCAGTTATTTTCTTGGTTGTATCTCACTGAAGGGTGGGCGTAAGGATTATTACTGGGAGAAGACATTACCAGGAAAAGCAGAGGGTTTTTTTTATGTCAGTAAATTCTTGCAGGTTCCTCAGCTGGAATTCGTGCTCTCTCCATACCCTCACATCACTGAAAACTTTGAACTTCTGAGAAAATGTGAATATTTTTCATGTGCCGAGGCTGAGAGTACAGCTTGCAGGATCTGTTGGGATTACAGCATTTCTTCCGCTTCAGGCATCTCTGGCTCATGGGGAGCTTTGTACTCGGAGCCTGTAAATACTGAATGTGTCGCTCTGAAGGGCTGCAGGACTAGACAAGAGCAGCAGGGTTTGTAATAATTGTAGCATGAAGGCCTGTGAGTCATTTTAAGCAGCACCTTGGGGCAACAGAGGGCGTTTGAAACTTCTGCCAACCCAGAGATCTGCCAGGAGCAGATGTGATAGTTTCTCTCTGGGTCAGGTGGACTTGTTGCTGATCCTAGATGTTGCTCTCTGAGGGGCACTCTGCTTGCTCAGATACCTACGGTGGACTCAGGCCTTTCCTTTGGCAACTCGATTCAAGAGAAGAATGAGAGCTCCTGCACCACCGACTACTCAGGACTGAGACATCCTAGCTGTCTATGCAGTCTGTGGAACAAAACAGGCTGCTCAGTGTGCTCATCTTCAGATTTAAATTAGACATGGGGAAGAAATTCTTCACTGTAAGGGTGGTGAGGCACTGGCACAGGTTGCCTAGGGAAGTTGTGGATGTCCCCTCCCTGGAAGTGTTCAAGGCCAGGTTGGGGTGGGGCCTTGAGCAGCCTGGGCTGGTCCAGGGTTTAGTAGGTTGTTTCAGTCATCTTGCTGTTTTCTCCAGCACACACACACACCCTCCCCCAAAAACTGTACTAAAAGACCTTTAAAAAAAACAAGTTCACTGGGAGAGAGGTATTATAACACAGGGCCAAGAGGAAATAACAAGATGAAAACCAGACTCTAGGAAGGTCAGCAACATGTTTTTCTTCCTCTGGGCAAGATGCAGGCCCAGCTGGATCCCCTCAGGGGTTCCCAAAACATGGCTGGTGGTGACCTCTTCAGAGAGGTCTCTCTGTGTGCTGGGGTATGAAGGTTTTCACCACACAGGTTGCTCACTATATTCCTTCCCAGCCCCACTGGGAATGCATGATCCCAGTACTGCTCACGTGCAAAACGGTTCCGAGAAGCAGAAATTAAATCTATTACTTTCTATTACCCATCCTCTGGACACAGACCTGCATTTAAAATTATTTCTCAAATACCACTGGTTGTTTACAAATGCCACTGCATCTCACTGCTGGTTATGGATGATGAAGATCTAAAAAAAGGATTTAATATTTCTTTGATGAATTGAGCTTGATGCATGAATTACAGTTACAACTGTTATTTAAAATGCTGCCTTTCACTTCTATGGATTTGTAGAGCACAAAAAGGATAATCCTCTTCTGTCAGATCGATAACCAGAGTTACGGGATCCATGAAAGAACTTTTCTTCATGTTATTTCATATCAAATCTCTTTCTTCAGTGTTTGTAATTATTTTTCATTCTGATTCCACTACCAATCCTGAGAATAGAAATACAAAAGTAGATGTGAAAAATAAATTTTAATTCTAACTGTTCAGATACTTACTTAGAGAAAACTGGTATAGAAACTAAATTACATTCTTAGATAACAAGGTTCTTGGCAAGTTACGTGCATAGTTTGATTCTCGAGCAGAGCCTAAGTCCTTTTTTCAGCTGACAAATATGGTGCAAATGTAGACTTCTTTGTGCAGTTAATTGTTTGAGAATTGTGGTCAGATGGAGTTAATAACTCAAATTGAGTTATTAGCTGAAACTTGTGAACAGTTTTGCATTGCTTAGAAATTGAAGAATTTGTCTCTTTTCTTGGGCACAATTTGTGAAGAAAAAGATTAGGTTAAAGTCATCAAATATGTTACTGTAAAGTATTTGTGCAGCTTATAAAGCATATCTTAGAATAAAGTACAGGCAGAGGTACTTGGCAAGAGAGAGATTGCTAGAAGTAATACGCAGTTATGAAGCCTGTTTCAGCTAAGACTCTCAAAGTGCAGAGCATATATCTCAATTTTAAAGGGATTAGTTGATATTAAAAGGATTTCAGAACTAGTTTTGAACTCACAGGGCCTTAGCCTGTGAGTTCAAAATGAAAAGGAGAGGGGGGTATATAAACATAATTTGCAGAATTGAGTCTGAATGCTTGAAAGCTCTCAGTGCCCTTTTGAAGGATCGATATTATGGCTTTGCAGAGCAGGTAGTGAGCAGTGCAGAGATGCTCAATGTCTTACTTAAAATCTCATCACAGGTCTGTTGCAAACTGGAGTTTAAAGCCATTGATTCTGGATTTTATTTTCTTAGCATAATCGTAATAGGGATCATGGAGACGATGTTCCTGATGAACGTTGTCCTTCTGCCAGTCGTTCATACCACCGGCAGTAGCCCTCTTGTGTGCTTCTCTTTGCAGGATTCGGCGTCTGTTCCACTACATCGTCAACCTGCGCTATTTCGAGATGGTCATCCTCATCGTTATCGCCCTCAGCAGCATTGCCCTGGCTGCAGAAGATCCTGTCCAAGCCGAGTCACCGAGAAACGATGTGAGTACAACAAACCTGAACAGAATGAAGTTGTTCTGCTTCTGCAGCAGTTATGTGCATGGCACGTCTGTAACACAGTGCACTGGCAAGTGCAAAATGGGAGCTTTCTTTAATAACATGTGCTAACTAGCTTGTTCCACTATCAAAATGTTCACAATTCCTCTCTCTTTCTTCTGCTTCAACCACACCTGAGTCTGAGAACCTGGAAGTCACTGGTGGCTTGGCTGGTGTGACTGATGTGGAAGAAGCCCACAAAGCTTTTGCACCATTCAGCAATGGGAAAGGCTTCCCCAGTCACAACCCAGGGCTTACGACGTCCCAAAATCCTCCTCTCCTGCTAAAGCAGAGCCTGAGGAAATAAAACCAGTTATGGCTTGTCTTGGTGGGGCATGGTAGCAGTCTTCTAGAATTAGTAGCAAATCTACTTATCCATGGGTGTCAAACCAAACTCAGAGACTTTGGGTGTTGTTACAAGCAGAAGTAGGGATGTGTCAGCTTTTACCTGAGAGCGTGCAGCTTCCAGCAGTGAGTTGCCTAATTTTGGGCTCTTCAGTGTAGATGGTTGCAGCGTGGGGATATCATGTTGTCTATGCTGACTTAATATCCATTCATTGTGTGTAAGCATAGGAATCTGACTGTGAATAGGTGCTTCCCACCCACAGAATTATGTTAAAATTTAGGAGATTTATAGATATTTGAAGGGACTGGTATTGCATTTACCAGGACGTGTGCAGAGGAGTCTGTGTTCATCCACCCCTTAAACAGATCAAGGAATTGAATTGCTTCAGAGCACAAGTTGGCAAACCAGGCAGAGCAGGAATTGCCCGACCTGACCTCCTACTTCCCAATCTGCTCAGTATTAGCTTTTTCCAGAGGAGGATCCGTGAATCCTTATATCAGTAATGAGCTGAAGTAGCTACAAGCAACCTCTCTTCCTCATCCTTAATAACTGTGCAATCAGTTTTACCAAAAGGATTTTATCACTCTTACTCTCCCGAGGTCTTTAATAACACTATCATCAGCGACAGCAGAATAGAAACCCACGCTGCTACACAGATGCTGGCAAATAAGCTCTTTAGGAAAGAATATTCAAATATCTTGATTTGCAATATCCATTTTGCCTTTTTAAACCTGACATATATGTAGGGGCACTGCAGCAACCCAGGGGCATGCATCCTGCAGTCTGCAAGGACTGGAAAAAATGTTGCTGTTTAAATCAGATGATTCAGGTTTGTGCCTAAATTATTTGAAAGCATCCCACGAGATGATATTTACGCACCGTAGCAAATAGACCATTGCTAGAATAGACTGCTCATGTGCAGCTTATTTCAGTCTGTAGCCTCCCCTAATACACGCTTCTCTGTCCCGTTCAGGCTCTGAAATACTTGGATTACATATTTACTGGCGTCTTTACCTTTGAGATGGTGATCAAGGTAAGAATTTTTCCAAGCAGAAAGAGTCACTTCCCCTTTCACATTTACACTTGGCTACTTCTGGGAAGCTGGAGGAAGAGGTTGAAGCAGGACAGAGCTTCCTGGGCACCTGGAGTGGTGGCAATGATGGAAAGCTTCAGCTCAGGAACAGCACCCAGAAGCAGCCAGTGCACATCGGATGCCTTTCTATACCAGCTCTCCTCGTTTCTTTAATCTCACATTTTATAGAAGAAAATAAGGCTATCTTTAGTAGCTGTAAAGGGATAAGAAATATGGGTTCCCAATGCAGGAATGTCTGCGTGGCTGAGGACACAGGAGCTGATAGACCTCACTGAGACACGTCTGAGTCTTCCCTTTTCCTTTGATGTTAATCAGGCATATTAATAGTAATATTAATTTGTCATGTTTTAAAAAAATGAGGATTTAACCTTCTACTTTCACAGCAGGGTAATGGGCTTTGCTAAAACTGTGGGGCAGAAAGCACAATTGTAATAAAGTCAGGATTTATTCTTGGGGTAATGATGGAGCTAGTTTTTACTGTTAGAGCAAGATGCTACATTCCTCTGTACCTCAGCAGTGTTGATTTTGTACTTGCTTTATTAAAACTCTTTCTTTTCATGTGTTTCCTCTGCAGATGATTGACCTGGGGCTGTTACTCCACCCTGGCTCCTACTTCCGTGATCTGTGGAACATCCTGGACTTCATTGTGGTCAGTGGGGCCTTGGTCGCGTTTGCCTTTTCGTAAGTACATTTTCTGTAACATCCCACTTTCTAAGAAATAAATTGCAGAGGAGGAGGCAGGGCCCTGGCACAGGGCAAATTGAGGCACAGTGTCTGTGGCTCCATTTCTCAGCGAAATGTTCAGTTTCTGCCCTTTATCGTCTCGTAGCTGGGGGATAAGAAAAAAACAAATCCTTATGTTTGTGTTGTAAAATTTCAAGAGATTCTCTCAGCTTTATGGTGAGTCCATTCACTGCTCATGTAAACACTGAACCAAGATTTTTGTGACCCTCTGACCAACTCCTTTTCAAGGACATTTTATAAAAGTTTGTGGCAGTCTTCTGTCTTCAGGAAATTGTTTTAAAATTTGTTCTTACTATGAAAAAGTAGTTAATGAAGTCAGCTGGTAAGTCAGTGAACTCTTTACAGAACATTATTTCTAGAGTCGTGGGTATTTCTGGTTCACATGCCTTTGGTATTTCTTGCTCTTCTTCCTCTCTCGTTCAGCGTACTTGCATTTCCAGAGAGTTAAGGCTCATTGCTCCCTCCCTCAATCACAGCTCTCTATTTATGACATTAAATGATGCTCTGTGTGCTGCTTTAATGTCATGAATCATTTAGAGCAACAGATACAAAGGAACTGCTTTTAAAAAATGAAGATTAGCTTTTAGTTCAAGCGTTTTTCTTGGAGGAGACCAGAGGAAGAGCAATGCAAGTTCTTCAGACCTTGGGGACCTCAGAGCTGGATGATGGAAAGAAATTTTCCACGTGCAGTTCTGGGCCACAGAATAATTGTATTGCAAATGTTTTCCTGAGAAATTCTAGGAGATGACCTAGAAACAAGCTACAAGACTTGGCCAGTTTAATCTTCTGCTAAATTAGCCTTGAGTAATTACAGTGAACATTTAGCAGCCTAGACCCAAACTCAGCTCACCTCTTTGTTGACACGATGATCAGAGAAGGTGAAGAAATTAGCAGTGTTTCACTTGCTGATGAGAAAAAGCATTCACCTTTGTCAAGGAACTGCGGAAGTGTGTCTTGTATATTTTAGACTGACAGTAATTTTTAGGCAGATGGCCATAGCCACTGCTCCTCTGACGTGCTCTGCTGATGACAAATACTGGAATGGCCCTCACGGGACAAAAAGTTACTGAGACCTTTCTGGTAAGGTTGGCCGGGAATACTAATCAGGGGTTGGTCATTTTCTGAGGTATCAAAATTCCTTTCACATCAAGGCTGAGACTTTTGTATTTTAGATCTTCTATTCTTCATAGCAAATGCTGGATAAAAGAAGTCCAAGCTAATTTGATGAAGGAGTGGATGGACAGAAGGAGATGAGGTTGACATCACTGGTATGATTTTTTGAGCCAGTTGAGGAGTGACATTTGGGGATTTCGGAGTGCCCAATTCTACAACAAATAATTGTTTAGATTTGGAGCAAGTCGTGTCCAATTTAAGTTTTTCAATGGGATACTGCCCTCCCCTCTTTAAAGACTTTGTCACTATCCATTAGAAATTTGTTTTCCAGAGGAGGTGAGTGCTCCGTTTTAAGCAAGGTTGTCTTGAGATGGAATTGCTGGTCTGGTGAATGTCTTGCTTACCTAAAATTTGGCATTCAAAACCAGGCTGCTTTTTAAGCTTGACTAGGCACGTGTGTGGCTTGGTTTCCCTGCACGTGAAATATCAGCATAACGTCTTTCAGAACTGGATGTGCTCAGACTGAGTTAAACAAAAACTTACTGAAAAAAGTTTAGCAAGTTAGCAGAGCTCCTGCGAATTGAAGAGAGGTGTAAAAGTAAAATAATATTAGTCACAAGTATTATTTTGCAAAACAATATTACCAAGTTTGAAGTTCACTGAGAATTTCCCTTTTCTATTAAAAATTCAAACTTTCAAGGCAGACTAGAAGAAGGGCATTTTGTGAGCTCCTCAGAGCCACTCCATGCACTGTGAGAACAAACATCAGGGTTTGCCTTTAAAACATCTTCTCTTTGAACAAGATTTTATTTTTGACAAGCTATGGATTAAAATGAATACTTTTTAATCCTTCTGAGTCTTTTTGTGTTCAGGTTTTCTATTGCTCGCATTGGGCCATGAATATCTAAGAGCACCTCATCAGCTTCTAAATAAATGACTTGTACATCCCCTGACTGAGCTTCATAATAGTGTGCCCCAAGCTGCTTCTATTTTACATGCTCTTTGAGTAAGCATTGAGCAGGGATTTGCAGAAAGCGAATGCATAAAACCTGCCTGCCTATTTACTATCTCTGAGATTAAAGTGAGTCAAACCTATTTCCGAGTCTTGGAAAAATTTGAATTTCTTCTGAGATTTTTATTATGACTGCAACCTCAACTCCACGGCCGTGCTTGAGCAGGCAGCGAGTGCTGATGTTCAATTTGGACAACACTCGCAGTATCGCTGGTCTAATCCAGTTTTTGTTAGGAGAGGACTTGCTTTCTGTCCCCGTTAGTCCGGTCATGAATACTAACAAGTCTCAGACTGCGCAGATGGAAACTGGGCAGGCAATCACGTCCTCAGCGCAACTGGTTAAACCAGACGGACACACTGAGCCTGCTGAATTTTGATCATCCTGAAAACGAGCTTTTGGAGAATAAACCGGGTAATCTCCATTGTTTTCTTAGCGGGCTTTTTCTAGAAAACCCTGCAGTTCTGTCACTCGTCATCAGTGTCACTGTGAATAATGTATCTAATGTGGCTGTTGCCAGTTTGTCTGCAAGAATACACGGTTGCCACTCAGTGGGTGTGATTTAATTCTCATGCATGTTCCTGACCTCGATGGTGTCCAGTCAGGGTGATGTGGATCAGCTCTTGCTGAACAGAAAAGACACTGAAAAACTAAGGAAAACGAAGCTCCCTGGAATGCTTCCATCGGGAATATTGCAAGGGCCTGTGTTTGTTTAGACATACGAGATGGTATCAGTCATTGCTGCAAGGTTCATAAAATCTATATCAGCCTTTCAAACCAGCTATCACTCTACCTTCTGCCTGTAGCTCTTTAGAAGATATTTTGTGCTTGACTGTAGTTATAAAAATATATCTCTTTTTAAAGGAAGGCTCCCAGTGAGATGCTAGATACATTAACAGTACTGATGGCGATGATAATAAAATAATGTCTTCCATTTAGCAATGTATTTCAAAGGAAAATTCCTTTCTTTCTCTGGAGGTAGATGTGCCACAAACATGCAGACATATTTTAGCCTTTAGGGAAATAGAAATAGGGGAACTTAAAGCAAGCTAGCAAATTTATCATCAAAATTTACCGGCCCCAGGTGTAAAATCTCCTCCTTCACTAGAAGTAGCTGATAAAGCACAGCAAAGAGATTGTGGTTTTATATTTTCAACTACAGAAAGGTGGCTGAGATGCACAGAATTTCACACTGCCCTCTGGAAAAGCGAGCAGCATTTTGCCAAATAATTGAATTTATCACCTCCCAAAATGTCAGGGGGATGAAAGGGTATTTGCCCCGTCTGCCTGTCGGTCGAAGGGCTGATGTGCCGGGGGGAAGTGTGGGTATTCGCTGTGGAGCCAACCTTTACTTCCTTCCTGGTTTATTTCTATGAGTGTTGAGTTGGTGGGCGTGGGCCAGGGGATGGGTTTTTGGCAGCACATACCTGTATGTGCGTGGGGTGCACTGTATAGCCGTATGTTTCTGTTTGTCATTGACTCTGCTCTTTCTTTGTCTTCTCCTCGCTGGAATCTCTCTCTAGGAGTTTCATGGGGTAATGCGTTATTCCTGTCTCTCACTGCACTGTTATGCCTGTCCAACGTGTGTACACACACTTGCCACTGTGGAAACAAACCATGTTACACCCATCGCATTGACTCCTTTGTCCCTTTATTGCTCATTATTCAGTGAAATGTATTTTCCCTTAACAGTCCTCATTCATCCTATTTTTCTCTCAGCAGAGGGTAGGAGCAGACTAGAAAGCCAAGGAGACCGGAGAATCTTGACCAGGGAGACAGAAAGTATAAAAGCAGATATATTTGTATCGAAAAGATTTGAGGGGACAACTTAGTGGGTACATCAAAAATACGTTAATTGCAATTCATGAAAATCTTAATAACTAGGCTTAAAGAAGCAGGTTTACTCTTGTGCAGAGAATTGCACGTCTAAACCTTATCAGCAACACTGGAAGCTTTGGGCATGATTTTGTGCAGTTTGGACCCAGGATCCACTGGCAGAGGGTGGCTTGGTGCCCAGGCAGAGCTAAGGACCTCATTTGCTCCTCTCTTCCTGCCTTGACACCACCCTACCCCAAATGTTTAGTGACGGCTCTGAGGCCCACGTTATGTGAAATCAGAGCTGCTGGCAGCAGCTGCAGAAACAAGAAGCTTCAATTTTAAAGAACTATTAATTTTTTAAAGGATCCTTTATTTATTAAAGGAAAAAAGGGCATGCAAAGCTCTCTCAAAATATTTTTAATGTTTTAAATAAATGAGCAGCAAACTGGCCCAGAAAAAACAGAACTGACCTAATGCAACAGGAATTGACCTAATGCAATTTTTTTTTGCTGTTGTGGTCTTGTTTTTTTGTCTTTTGTTTAAGTCACTGGGTTCTGTTTGCTCTCTTTATCTGCTGCTTTTCTGCAGCTTTTTTGAATTTTGTAGCTGTTATTCTGCAGTCAACTAAGATCGTCTACTTCCATAGCAATTTCTTTTTGTTGTGAGAAGTATTCTAGTCAAATGCGTGCCTGTATATATCTTTTGATTGAATCCTAGTTCCTTCTGGACCTTTTATTTTGTGGGACATCTGGCTTTGTACTAAAGTGGTGTGAAAAACAATACTGGCAGAGGGGGCTTTTAAAACCACCGAAACCAATTCTTAAGGTTTTATTTGACAGGCTGAAATAGTTGCAGGAGACTCATTCAATTAAAATGCAATTTACAGCACTCTAGCTCAGAGCACCAGTCCATTGAGAAAGCTTTCTTCTATAGCAGGAGCCATACTGTGACAAGAAATAAGTATGATTTTTCAGGATTCTCTTATATGACTTAGATCATAAATCCTATTAACATTTAATAGGCTCACGTTCTTTATTTGCTGATGTGCCTGAAAGGGGAAAAAAAAATAAATAAAAAATCAAGCTTTCTTAGTGTTCTTCATTCACGCAGAAGGAATTTCACAGGACTGGAGCACTGTCCTTCACCTCTGAGCTCTCAGTGCAGTCATCCAAATACTTGCCCGTGCAAGGAGAACACAGCTTTTTCTCTGCACACCGAGGAGGAAAGGTTTGGTTACCCCCACCTATTCCCTGGTCCTCCCTAGATCTATCTGACCTTCATAGGAGTATTAAGTCCCCAGAGGAGCCCTGTGAGACCTGAGCTAGACCCTTCAGAGCTGAGAGTGGTCTCTGTTCTTATCTTGAACCTCCCTTACTGCAGTGGTTACTTAGCACAGTAACTGGGGTTTAGCTCTGGCATTGGGAGCATGGGCACGCCCCATGTAGAAATATTCTGGGTCTGCCCAAGCCCAGGTGAGGACTGTGGAGGCTTCAGTTGCTATCAGCCAGAAGCTGGGCTGTGTCTGTGTTAATCTGCAAACCAGAAACATGGGCACAAATGACTGAGAATTGAACATACGCCTGTGCCAAAGAGTCTATGCCTCCTGTGTCCCACCTTTCTTTTTCTCCTACCTGCCCCATTCACATGTCCCTTAACCCTATCCCCTTCTCTCTCCTCTCGCCTTTCACCCTGACCTTCCTCAGCTCCTACCTCTTCATCCACTCCTACCCTGCCTTCCTCCCCCAGTTAAACCCCAAATGGCTGGGCAACATGGAGAAACTGGACCAATTTGCTTGAACTTTCTAAGGGGAGAGGGAGCAACAGGGGCAGACAAGGTGATGGGTGTGTGCTGGGGATCAGCCATGGGGATGAGCTGGCTGGCCAGGACAGGTGGCATCTCCTTCCCAGTAACCTATTTTCCCTTCTACTTCCCTCCTGCCATGGACTGTCCTCCTCAAGAGGCTGAACAAATGGTTTCGCAGCCAAGGCAGGAGGCAGCGGCCGTGACAGGGATGGATGCTTGGTAGGAGTTGGTGGTTTGAAAGCAAACATGCAAAGCCAAGCAGGGGCTAGATCTTCAGTTATGCTAAAACCCAAAGAGAAAGCCAGTAAAAGCTATGTTGGCAGTGTCTGCCTCATCTGAACCTGATTAAAGGGTCTCTAATGCAAACCAAAAATTATTTAAGTATGTAATAGTTATTCTGTGGCGTTAAATCAGCCCTATAACTCCATGAGTGTTAGCTCAGCCACCTGGATTTACGGCCACACCAGCAGCCAGGTTCCATCTGTGACTAAAATCAGCTAAAGCAGCCCTGAAAGATGAGATAAGTTAGGCAAATCTCCATCCTGTTCCCTATCTTCTCAATTTCTGTTAAATCATGTGCAAAGGCTGCTTGTGTTCAATGGATAGCTCACTGGGATACAACCTATGGCCCTCCAAAAATTCCTTCTGTTTCACTGCTTATTGCATTGCAGGACCACTGCAGTGAGTGATAATTGGAGAAAGAGACCAGAGGTGAGGCAGATATGTGTTTTTCTAGGTTGCAGATTCCAGTCCAGTGTTAGTGTTGAGTAGCACAGTCTTAATATTGAGTTATTAGTCTCTTAGAAGTGGGTAATTTGAAAAAGACACCTTCCAGGTCAGTCAGCCACCAATCCAGGTGATTTCCTCCCATCTTGGTGCTTCTCCTTTAGCACAGGGCTGGGTGCAGGCTGTGGGGCAGCTTTGCAGTCCACTACCCACACATACTTCTTCGGTCTCTTGAGTTCTTTGTGTTTCTGTTGCTTTCCTGTTGGAGAAGAGAAACGTTTAGCAAACTGGAAGAGCATAGTGTAGGTCTACCAGCATCTGCTCAACATGTTCATTCACACTCGTGTTACTTCAGCACAGTTTCAGAACCAAACATATAGTCATGAGTAAAGCTCTGTTAAAGATTTTCATCCCATTTTTCACTTCATACAAAATGAAGGGGAATGTCACTGTTTTGCTGTTGGGTTGGAATAAGATCTAACTGTGTCTTGGAGGTGGGGGTGAATCATTTTTTATTTATTTTGGGAGTGCACGAGGAAAGAAACTCTATCCTTCCCCTTAAAAACCCTCTTAATGGTAACAGGAGGAACGGTCTCAGGTTTTGCACACAGTTATAACAAAAACTAAGCCGAAGATGTGACTTACAGCACCTGCATGCGTAAGTGGAAGTTGTTTGAGCACCGTTCCAGACATGTAATATGCTGTCATATTACATGTTCCCGCATGGGTTTGGTAGCATGTTTTCCAAGAGAAAAACCCAAGAATGAGGGTACGGGCATGGAGAGCAGGAGAGCGGCTCTGATCCCCAGGAGATCTCTGTCCCTCACCGTGAAGGCTCTGGTTCCCTTTGGTCACTGCCTGCTTGTCTTGACACAAGGTCCCTGCCAGAGAAGTGGAGGAAGCACACAGAGAAATGTCCTCCTGTCTCACCCAGGTGCCTGGGAGGAAGGAGAGCCAAGTGTGACTTTCTCACTTCTCCTGCCTGGGGCTGGGATGAAGGTACTGAGCCTCCTCTCCTGGTGGCTGCTGCCCCAGCTTTGACCATTGCCTGGTTGGGGAGCTAGGGCAGGAAGGTCACCAGGTCCTGGGTGATGCTCAGTGAGTAGCGGGGAAGCGAGCGAAGGCTGGAGAGCACGAGCGACTGAACGCTGCAAGGACTGTGTCTTGTCCAAGCCTTCTTCTTGGGCAGTGGTTAAGACATCGCAAGTGGGCGTTCATCTGCAGCCCTCGCGGCTACTGTCTGCAACCATGGCACCCAAAACCTGTAAAAAAGCCCCCAAACCACCAAAGCTCCCCCCACAACCAAAAACCCACAGGGTATCTCTGTGTCTTTTAGTCAGTGACCTGAGGGCCAATCTGTTCTCTCTGTTGTTCTTGTGCCTTTTATCCCTTGCAGAGGAACCAAAGGCAAGGATATCAACACCATCAAGTCACTGCGCGTTCTGCGAGTCCTGAGGCCACTGAAGACCATTAAACGGCTGCCAAAACTAAAGGTTAGAGAATAACCACGAATCTTTCCTGCTCTGGGGTCTTGTCATAATTCCAAGTGGAAGCTGGTGGAGTAAACTTAATCCAAGTTATTTCTATTCCTTTTGTTTTGTTGCAGTTAAACTCTTTGCCAGGTTTATAAATAGCTGTGCAGATGTTTAGTAAATGTCAAGCACTTGTTTCTTTTGCAAACATTTTGTGCAATATTATGAATTATTGTGAATCCACATTAAAATCCAACTTCTAAAAAAAGAGAAGAAAAAATACAAATAAATTAAATTACAGTTCATAAGTGTGATACTCTTAGAAACAGCATAAGAGAAAATAGGTTTTGGAGTGTTTGACTTTCCCTAGAGTACTTAATATGAATATTGCAAGATTTTCCACAGTCTGTCTAAAGAGAAATGTCATTGCTGTATGAGGACTTTTAATCTGTTCATCTTTTCTATTAAATAATATATAATGCAGGGTTTTATAGCAGCACCCTTTCATCTCTAGAATACTAAGTTACAAAGTGAAATAAATGTGATGGTCTGTGGTTACTTATTCAACACCATTTCAAGAATGCTTTGAGATATAGCCAGTCCCTGTAATTTAGTAATTTCAGAGTTTTGGGAACTCTTGAATCCCTATTGTAGAATATCCTCATGTGGCATCGCTGCTTGCAGACTCTTTAATGTGAGAGATGGGGAAAAAGCGACAGGTACCTTTTCAGTGGTTAAACTGTGTCTGACGATTCCTATTTACACATTGACATGTGAAAATCAGGGTTAGCTGTTATATAGATTTGCTTTTCTCCTTACCCACAATTCATGTTTAAATAATTTTGATTTTATGCCTTTTTATGCATATAATATTTACCTCCAAAGATAAGGAAGAGTAATGTTGAACAGCATTAGAAAATAGGTTTTATTTGTTTAGAAATTTGAAATTCACAGCTCTTGGGTCATAAGCCAGACAACAGTGGCTCGGTCCTACAGCGGGATGCCAAACACTTGCTTTTTATTGAATGTCTTCCTTATTTTCAAGTCATTTTAGAGTAATTTTACCACCTCTAAAGAAGTATTCAGAAATCTTTATGTGAAGCCGAAGTCATATTCACATGGTTTATCTTCAGAATTATTTCCTCTTTTTTTTTCCTGGAATTTCCTGTAGGCTTGTATGCAACAATCAGCAAGATTAATGGGGTGATTAGAGATATTTCCAGTGTTTTAATTCAGAATTTCTGGGTTGCATCAGGAGTGTAATTTTGTGAGTTATTCACTTCCATTCAGAGAGAGATGGGAACGGTATTGTACAAACCCTGAGCCTGGGCAGTAAGACTGCTCGATTTCTATTATTATGGCAAACTTCTCAGGCTAAAATTAAACTGCAAATTGCTTGTAACAATGAATCAGTGACTAATAACCAAATACTAAATGTATTCGAGAAGTTCTTTTTAGGGAGTTCAGAAGTGACATATGCTGACAAGATTTGTCACAATTCCGATTTTAGTTTTTTAGTTTTTAGAGAAATGTTATTCGAAGCATTTGGCATCTGGTATAATTTCTTTATTATTCAAACAGTTCAAATAACGGTCAATGGGTAACATATTTGATGATTTTTTTCCCTATCCACTAGGAATAAATTAAACACAGGTAGGTTTTCTTTGTTTCATAATAGGCCATGGAAATATTTGCTTAGGACTAATGTTCTTCTGAACGAGCGGTGATTGTCTTTATAAATTTTACAGACAGCAGCAGAAAATCCAGTGGCACAGCCAAACCTGCCGAGAAAGCAGGAGACGGAGGATGCCAGCGTCATTTCTCACAGCTGGAGTGTAACTTTTGGTCAGACACTGGCTGCACAGGTCCATGAAACCATGCATGGGTTGTAGGTTGGGTAATTATCCCAAGTGTAGTTATATGTTAGACTCATAGAATGGTTTTGATTGGAAAAGACCTTTAAGATCATCGAGTCCAACCATCGAACCAGCCCTAAGGCTGCCACTAGACCATGTCCTCAAGCACAACGAATGCACTTTTCCTTTCCTTCAACCCCTTAATGTTGTTCTTCTCCATCCCCAGGCTGTCTTTGACTGCGTGGTGAATTCCCTGAAGAACGTCCTCAACATCCTCATCGTTTACATGCTCTTCATGTTCATTTTTGCCGTCATTGCTGTGCAGCTTTTCAAAGGCAGGTTCTTCTACTGCACCGATGAGTCAAAGGAGCTGGAGAAAGACTGCAGGTATGGCCTGGGGCAGGAGCTGTTGGGGGGATCCTAAGTTTCCTCCAGCAGCAGCTCCCTGGATGGTCCCAAAGCTGCACTGGGTGGGTATCTACTGAGCTTGATGAGTCTCCTGTAAGAGCTATGCTTCAACACAACTACCTTAAAGGTGAATTTTTCCCTTTTGTTGATTTAATAACTGCATCATTTCTTGCTCTGATCTAGCAAATGCTTACCTAAATGCTTAATGATGCAGGGGAGCAGGCTTTTTTTCCCAGGGAGGGCTCAGTGAGATTTTAAGTTAAAAAGTTTTTGAAGGGATGGCGTGACTCCTTTTTCTACCTGCTGCCTTGATTCTTGGGGCTCATATGAATTAGAAAAACACACTTGAATAAATCATAAGAAGCAAATCGGTAGGACATTAAAGAGCTCCTAATTAGCTGGAAAGGGGGTCAGTATTTGAACATCTTAAAAGCCCTGTCACGCTTTCTCTTTGTAGCAGGCTCTCAAGGTGTTTTACCCACCACAATGTGTGTCTTTCTCACTTTTGGTTTTTGGCACCCAAAGCACATCCTCAGCAACATCCCTGTCTGCCCACATTTCCCTCTCCTGACCCCCTGCAAGTGCAGGCCATGGTCCTGGTGGGACACAGCAGCTGTCAAGGCTGTCACTGTGGTTCTTCCTTGAAGTAAAGTAGATGAATACAGAAAGAAATGTGAAATTATTGAAAAATGTTGATTGAAGGGGAGCTTTCCAGATGCTGGGTCCCTCAGCCCCTCAAAGTAGGCCCCAGTTAGAAGCTAGATCCAACTCTGAAGTAGGAGCCAGAGACTTCCCCATCAAGCAGTGTGGTTTTCTGTGGGGTCAAACAGTTTGGGGGCCAGCATGCTGTTAATTGCCAGCTTTTCCTCATGCAGGAATGTCCTGATTACAATTTCTTGAATTTCTAGACCTCAGGTCCAGTTCCTGTGGCTTGAAATGGCTTGAGAAATGGCCTTTACTTCTGTTACAAACCGAGGGATTGTCTCTTTATTTGTCTTTAATTCCTAGCACAGTTGGACTCTGCTTTGAGGCTCTTTGGTGCTCCTTAGTGAGTCACACAAAGTGGCTGATTTGGTTTAATTCTCTCATTTGGTCCAAATTTCTGTTTTTCCTAGGGGTCAGTACCTCGATTATGAAAAAAATGAGGTGGAGGCGCAGCCCAGAGAGTGGAAAAAATATGAGTTTCACTACGACAATGTGCTCTGGGCTCTGCTCACGCTCTTCACTGTCTCCACAGGCGAAGGGTGGCCCACGTGAGTACACGGGACTGGCAGGGTCAGTCATCGCGGGGGTAATGGCAGCTTTCCACAGCTCTGAGGGAGGCAGATGGCAGGTGACCTGTGAAATAAGAACAGGCTTTTATCAGCTAAGCTTTTACTTTCCCTTGTGTGATTATCGGGTGAATCAGCAGGCAGGGCTCTGCCTTTCTCTTGATGTTCCTCTGAGCTGGCACAGGGATGTTTAGGAAGTTTTCAGTACTTAATAGCTTGCTTACTTCAGTCTTTTGGACTTGCATGTCCTTCTCAGGTGTAAAATTGATAATGGGAATGTAAGAAAATGAGGGGGAAAAGTATTGTGACCTATGCTGAAAGTATGCTGGGAAAGACAGTCCTAAATTAGATTTACTGTTCAGCATATGACTTTATTTTGGCACACTTTTTACTGCTGGGACACGTGGAATACAACTCACAGGCAGGGTTTCTCCATGGCAGACCTTCCCTGTCCTCCACGTTCAGCTATTTCATAAAATAAAAAATAAAACATACTGCATCAGTCTCCCTTCTCCAGTCCCTCACTGTGTTCCCCTACTTGGAGTTCATCAATCCCACCCTTACTTCATCCCTGTTGACCAGAGAAGAGAAGCCAGATCTGACTATATCCTCTCCCCTTGGCCAGGGGGATAAGTGGATCTGTACCTAGCAATCTCCTTCATTCCGCAGAATGGTGAAAACACCAAGGGTTTCCCTCAAACTACCCTCAAGGAAAACTTCTTCCCAGCCATGGAGATGGGATTGAGTTTGACTTGAGCATATGTAGGAAACCCTCCATGCGAGTGAAGGCCAGTGAGTGACTATCGGGGCGTCATTGGTGCTTCACACCAATTTCATTGACTTTTCTTCTCTCTTTGCGCTTGATTGCAGTGTGCTGAAGCACTCGGTGGATGCTACCTACGAGGAACAGGGTCCCAGCCCTGGCTACCGAATGGAAATGTCTATCTTTTACGTGGTGTATTTTGTTGTCTTCCCTTTTTTCTTTGTGAACATCTTTGTGGCGTTAATCATCATCACCTTCCAAGAGCAAGGAGATAAAGTGATGTCAGAGTGCAGCCTAGAGAAAAACGAGGTATCCGCGTCTTCTGAATCCGGAGTTAGCACCTGGGTGCTCGAAGCACCTTGGTACCAGTGGAAGCCCCCTCCTCACCTTTCCTGTGCCGTGGGGGGGGCTTTAGAGCAGTCGTTACCTGAGGATGTGTGGTGTAGACACCAAACACATTACTGAATGTTTCAACTTCTGCATAAAAATGAAACCAGGGAGAGCCCTCAAATACTGGGTGTTTGTAAGCTCTGTCGCACATCCCCACGAAGCACACCTCTGCTTCAGAGTGAAGACAGACTTGCATGTTAGCTCGAGTGTGTAGGTGTGAAAGGAGACAAATCTTTGGCTTTTTAGAGTCCAGTCATCAGAAATTAAACTGAGCTACAGCTGCGATGGCTCCCCAGAGGGATTCTCCTTTCACCAGGCTGGTCTTGTGCCTGGCTGAGCTGGTGTCCGCCTGGCTCAGATAGTGTCCTCCTGACAGCAGCCGAAGCATGTAAGACCAGGGCAAGCCCCTATGAGACTTTTCTTTCACGGCCTAGTAAACACTGTGGACTCCTGAGCTGGATGTGGTTTTTCTTTAGTTAGTGGCATCTCTGTATCTTTCTTCCATGGATGGACCCAGTTTCCTCCTGAACCCATGCGGGTTTTTAGCACCCACAACATCCTTCATCTGGGGTCCCACAACCTTGATGACCTGTTGTGCAAAGAGTCATCTCTTTTCATTTATCTTGAAACTGGAACCTGATTTTTGATGAAAAGAGATGACTTTTAAATCAGTTCCAAATTGGTGCATTGTTTGTCTATATGAACAAAAAGTCCAAAATAAAGCAGAATATTTAGAGATTTGTGTAGATACACATTACTTTTCAAATTAGCAGGAAGTATTTTTGCAGTAACGTAAGACTTTGACTTCTTCTCTGAATCCAAAAGGAGAAAATGCTCCAGAATCAAAATTTTTTGTGGGCAAACCCCAATTTTAATGCAGTTTTATACTCCTAATAATGTGACTAGAAATAGCCGACTAAAGGGGTCTCTGAGAGTTCACCCAGTAATATTTGTTGGATAATTTATGAGTTGAGTTCAGTTCACCTTCTATGAAACGTTATTAGATGGACAGGTTTTGTTGTGTGTGAGAACATACCAGAGTTTCACAATACTTTTTTTTTAAAAAACACAGATAACATCTTTACCAATCCTCCAGTTTCTACAGTTACATTTCAGGAGGAATTGGCAGGCTTTCTGAAGCGAGCCTGTGGGTTTAAAACTCCCTTCCCTCAGTGGGAAAGGATGGGGACCTACAGAGGGCTGGGCTGGGTGGAAGGCTGTCTGCTAGGATTGCAGGGGGCCATAGCAGTGTTGGGGGATTTAATATTTCAGTGGGTGTCCAAAAATGATGGCAACCTGGGGATCCTGTGCTGCTATTTACAGGAGTACTCAGTACTCGTATCATATGTGAGAAACACTTAGAAATACTATCTTTCTCTAAACTTTCTGCTCACTCTCTCTGACTGATCGAGACTGCCAGCCTTCTGGGGTTTTTTTTGTATTCTTTTCATCCCATTTGTGTTTTGTAGAGGGCCTGCATAGACTTCGCCATAAGTGCCAAGCCACTGACCCGCTACATGCCTCAGAACAAGCAATCTTTTCAGTACAAGATGTGGAAATTTGTGGTGTCCCCTCCCTTTGAGTATTTTATCATGGTTATGATTGCGCTCAATACCATTGTCCTCATGATGAAGGTTAGTGGGCTGTTACCGAACCTTGGTGATTTCTGGCTAGAAATGTGTTTGCTCGAGAGCTTTCGTGCTCTCAACTCAAGAGCTAGGAGGAAATCAGCAGGAGCAATTGCCACTTCTCATCTGCCCGATGTTGTTTTTGGAGGCCTTGTGGGATTCCTTCGGTTCCCAAAGGAAGGGGGTTTAGTTGTGATGAGGTACTGTGAATGGGATGCTCATGCATGGCACTGATTTGGCTTGTAGCCACTTCTGCAGATGGCCAGTGAGATGTGAACTGGGCTCTGCAGGTCTGGAGCTCCCAGCTCAAACTGGGCTTCTTGCTGCAGAGCAGGGCCTCTTCTTGGGGATGCTCAAAATCTCACCATCCTAGGGAAATTACTCAAATTTGCAGCAGTGTCAACCTTCTGGGACGTGATCCAGGGTGCCTGGGAGGAAGAGATGCAGGTGGCTGGGTATTGAGAGTGATCTCCCCTCTTAAACCTTGCCTAGCCTAGAGTATCTTCTCCGTCAAGGGGGTCACCATGATCTTAGGGTCTGCTGGAATGAAAGACAGTGCTGCAATCATCCTCAGGTTTTGAAAATGCCCTTCCTCCCACCCTGGGCTGGATTGTGCTTACAGGGAGATGTACACCAGCAACAGCCTCCCAGTCCTGGGGTTACTCCCAGCTGCTCCATTATAATAGCATGCAGACACTGGTGTGCTTCTGGAGTGAGATAAATAACCATGTTGTGACTCCAAGTCTTAGAGAGCACAAAATGTAGCACTAAAATGGGCAGGAGTCTTGCAGGCAGGCCAGTCAGTTGGGAAGGTTTTATTCTGTAAGTGCTCTTCCAGTAACAGCTTTTCTTCCATCCTGGTTTAGTTCTATGATGCTCCAGAAGCATATGAAGAAATGTTGAAATGCCTGAATATTGTGTTTACATCCATGTTTTCGATGGAATGTGTGCTGAAGATCATTGCCTTTGGTGTGCTGGTATGTGCCTTCCTCCATTACTTTCAACTGCTTCCTCTCTACATGAAATGCTTGTATTTCATGATGTGCATATAAAAACAAACAAACAAACAAACCCAACTGTGTTGCAAACAGAAAATAACCCCTGGACCCCTCTATCCCCTTGTGTTTTCATTTGGCAGAATTATTTCCGAGATGCCTGGAATGTCTTTGATTTTGTCACAGTGTTGGGAAGTATTACTGATATTTTAGTAACCGAGATTGCGGTAAGTACAGTTTGCTCAATTTGCTTCATTTTACCACCAAAGCTGTCCCCTGTCAAGACATTGCACCTTCTCCCTACCAGCCGCGTTCCCTCGAGCTGCCGCCGGGACTCATCGGGTGATGATGTCCTTGGGTGAGCTGGCAGCCCGTGCCTATGAGCCCTGCCCAGTCCCCGGAGCCAAGCACAGCTTGGTCCCTAAGGCTCTTGTGCAAAAAGCTGTGACAAGACCAATGGTGCTAGTGACTCTGCCAGGAAACTGTCTCCCTTTCTTGTTCAGCAAAAGATTCTGACCCTGAGTTGGTTTTGCCTATTAATGGAAAAATCCTGTTGAATTTAATGGAGGGGAAGATCAAAAGGGTTCTGTTGAAGGCTTTTATAGTGTGAGGTGCTTTGCAGGGCACATGCACACACGTCTGTCCCTCAGGGCTCCAACCTAATCTTGGTCATGGAGCAGAATGAAGGCAATGAGAAGAGATAGGTGATTGGAACATAGAAACAGCCAGAAACTCATCCGTCTGCATGGTCTGGATGGGAGAACACAGTGAGTTTGTTATGTGCACAAAAGCTTTGCAGGGCAATTATTAAAACAAACAAACAAGCAACTGTACAATGTCTGCTCTCTCCCTGCTGATGAGTCCTGTAGATTACATGTACAAACTTGCCATTAAATTCTGGAGGATTTTTCCATAATGGCAGCAAATGTTTGACCAAACCTTGACAGCCCGATATTATCCAATTTATAAACTGCTCCTTTCCTCTCTTAATGCATGTTTTAGCTGATGATGTTGTATCTGTATGTGATGAATTTGAACTTTACCATAATTTTTTTTTCCTCAGTCTCTGGGATTTGTTTATAGATCTGTTTTGCGTGTGTTAAAGGAACTCTGCTCCCCAGATTTCTTTACAGGACATCCAGCTGGTGGTGAAGACCATATTACAATTTCTAACAAAATACATTATTAACTAATGTCCTTGGTCCAAGAAAGCCCACAAAACTCCAAGGTTTTACTCTCTGCACAAATGGTGTTCATTTAACAGTTGGTGAATCCTATCTCGTAGACTTCGGGTTACCTTTTGTGTTCAATGTGTGGCTTGCAGCCAGGGTAACGTTACTCAGAGCAAACGCAGGGTCTGAGCATTCAGGAGATTAATTGCACTGTGTTCAGGCACTGGATCCTCACTTCTGTCGCGGGATGCACTTTCTTGCCCAACTCAGGCACTCCAACTTTTGCCTTAGTTTGAAAATTAGTGAAAGCATTTGCAAGTCAGCCACAAATAGAGACTGATGCTTCTTTTCTACCCTCCTTCAGCCACTTTTGCAGGGAGGAAGCAGCACAGCCAACACACACATGGTAAGGGAACCTGTGGTCTCCCCAGGATTGGTGTCTTCTCCTTCCGGAAGGTGTCTTCTTCACAACACAAAGCCTACACGCTGCTTATTAAAATCCTCCTTTGTACAGGCATTTCACAGGCAGTGAGCAGCCATCATAGAATCACAGAATCATCAAGGTTGGAAAAGACCTCTAAAATAATCAAGTCCAACCGTTAACCCAACACCACCATGTCCTGAAGTGCCACATCCACACATTTTTTTGAACACTCCAGGGATGGTGACTCCACCACTTCCCTGGGCAGCCTGTTCCAATGCTTGACCACTCTTTCAGTTAATAAATTTTTCTTCATATCAAATCTAACCCTCCCCTGGCACAACTTGAGGCCATTTCCTCTCATCTTATCACTTGTGACGTGGGAGAAGAGATCAACCCCCTCTTGCTACCCCCTCCTTTTGGGTTCTTGTAGAGGGTGAGAATGTCTCCCCTTAGCCTCCTCTTCTCCAGGCTGAACTACCCCAGTTCCCTTAGCAGCTCCCCATAATTCTTGTGCTCCAGACCTCTCCCCAGCTTCATTGACCTTCTCTGGCCATGCTCCAGTCCCTCAGTGACCTTCTTGTAGTGAGGGCCCCAACACTGAACACAGGATTCAAGGTGTGGCCACACCAGTGCTGAGTACATGGGGATGGTCACATCCCTCATCTTGCTGGTCACAGGATGCTCTTGGCCTCCTTAGCCATTGCTCCAAGTCTTCAAGCTGTGACAGGCTGTCTTTCACATCTCATAGGAAAATGGATGTGCTCCTTCAGGCCCCTTCAGAAATCCACATCCACAGTTCTTTAGAAGCAGCCCCTTGGCATTGCTGTATAGGCATGGGTTCCCCATCCCTCTCTTGGTCTTTGGGCCAGAGAGTAAATGTGGTCCCAAATACACTCATGCAAGCTGGGAGTCACTGGTGCAGTAACCCTGAGGGTGCTGGGAGTGACAGCATCACCCCTCCTCTCTGCAGTAATTTCTCCGGTTTCTATCATCAAATATAGCAGCAGTTTGGGGATGCCTTTGAAGTATAAATTACTTCTAAAAGCAGTTAGTAAGCTCCAATAGGGTTAAGCTCCTTGGCACCTGTATGTCTTTCCCTTCTCCCAGGTGGTCACTGACAGGCTTTTGCTTTATAAGTGACTAGGTTCCTCAAGTCAAGTCACAGAGAGAACTTTCTCATGTAGTTCAACAGTTTCCCCTGGTTGTGTGGCCAACACAAACATATCTTTAATATAAAAGTCATGTGTTCCCCAGTACCACCTCAGCCCTGATCTCTTGGTCCTCTGTCTCAGTGTTCAGACCCATCTGAGCTCTGCTTTCTCGAAACCCCATCCCCTTCTGCAGCATTTCTGTAGAGTCACCATGTCTCCTTTCTGCATCCTTTCCTCTGCAGACAGAGAGTGCCCAGAGGTCCCTACCTTCTTGCTAGACTTGTTTTTCAAAACATCTTTCATCTAGCTCCTCTCTGGTCCCTCTCCAGCCCACACTCATCCTCACTGATCGGCTCTTGTACCCGTCCTTAAGCTGCACTCGTCCGTCCCTCAGCCATGGACAGGGATGATGGGCTCAAAGTTCAAAGGCATCATGATGAAGAGCCATTAGGAGCTTGGCTTGCCTCAAGGTGATGGCGATGCCTAGGTCTCAGAATCACCACTTAATGACACAAGTGGGCGTTTGCAGTAGTGCCCCAAAGATTACATTTATAATGGAATTGTTAATGGCAGCTTTCAGGATGTCTTTCATGGAGCAGTTCATTTTGCTTCATCCAGAGGCACATAGTGGAGGTGGTCTTGGACCAGGGTTGCCACTGCGAGATGACTTCTGCTTCCATCCTGAGGACAGACTGTAGGGTGGACAATGAGCAGAAGGGTCCAGAGCTCTGCTCAAGTCCCATTTTGGGGGCTCCATGATAGGCTGCAGCACATTATCAGGGGAACCCAAGGGGTCCCAAAGCTGCCTGGGAAACACCAGAGCTGTTTTGCTGCCTGGAAAAGGCCATGATGCATGTATGACCTGGAAGAGTTACACTTTAAACCATATTTGTGAAATACAGCCTGGTATTTTGTTAAACTGGAGTTGCACCTAAGTAACTTAAATACTTCTGGTACATAGATCTAATTTTTAAAAATGTAGAAAAGGGCTGAAAAACCTGATGCAGTGATAGCGAGTGTGCTGTTTGCACAGAGCAGGTACCAAGGCAGGAGTGATGGGTGCCTCGTTGGCAAAGGCATGGTCTCAAGCTTCTGGTCCCACTATTTCCAGGTAGAGTAGAGCGGTGACTAGGGCTCAGGATGAACATCCATTGCACAAAACACTGTAGCTAATGCATGTAGGTGCTCTTTGCACCATGTTATGGAGCTGAGGATACCCAAAGAGATCAGGTCTTTATTCGTCATGACTCAGAGCTGTGTCCCCAACGGAGGACACCCTCTTCTCCACTTGCCTTCCTCAGCTCCAGGATCTCCTTGGTGGGTGGACAGCTGTGGGGACAGTTGGGTGGCAGCCCTCTTCCCACCGCATTCAGCCCCGTTATTTCCCATTCCCACCAGTTCTCAGTCTGAGAAGCCCAAGTGATGGCCACAACGTAACCTCCACTGTCACTCTGCACCTTGTCCCCATGACAGCCACCTATGGAGCCCTCCAGCTCCTTGAGGGGATGCTTTCTGGGTAGGATTTTGAGATCAGGCTTACAAATAGTTGCAGAAGCACTGTTTTTCTCCATGGCTCTGCTTTCCAGCTGTAAGTGTTCTCCAGGGAAATAAACCTGCTCACCTGGGCGGACTCGGCTTCCACCAGCCTTGCTGCATCGGTACTTTTAACCCACTGAAAAGTAAAGATAAAAGGAAAAGAAATGTGTTGATTAAGTGCTTTATTTTAATTTTCTAGTCATGTCATATGTAATTTCCTTTGTGAATGCAGTGGAATATATACATTTTTTTATTTCCTTAGGCAAAAACACGTATGTCAGTTTTTTACCCTCTCAGTAATTGAAGTAAAACAGGTGGCATTATGGAGAAGGTGTCCTTGCGGGCACGGTTGGCCACAGGAGGCCGAATGGGTGTATGGCAAACTGACATCTATTTCTATGCCTGGAAATACAAAAAACATACTGAGAAGTGTTTGTGAATTGTCTCCTAATTTGCATTACAAAATGAAATGCAAATAACTATTGCACTGTCTGTGTTACCTTTAGGATCTCGGAATCTGTTTTGGTTTGGAGCATTTTTTATTTATATAATTACCATAAAATAACACCCCCAAAAGCCCAACAGTTTTTTTCCAGTGAAATTTTCAGAGTTTCCTTTTTTGCTTGTCCTGATTACTCATTTTCTCTTTTGTTTCCTGTTTTGTTCTTTATTTTCCTTATCTACCTGCTGAATCACGCCATCCAATCAACATACAATGCGAAAACCATGTCTCCGTCTGTATGTTGTGCACCTGCTGCTCAAAAAAATAAATTTGTAAATAATCTTGCAAATATCCATCCATGAAAACATCACATATAGGACACGGTTGGTTTCATTGAATTTAAACAATTATTTAAATTCTCTGCTTTTATTTTCTCTCGTTTGTCTTTGATTTAATTCGTTTTGATGAGATTTCCGATTGCACTGGTGAAAAAGCCTCACTGCAGCGTGCCTCAAAACTGGCTTCTGTCCTGCATCTTCTTCCCCGTGGCTAATTGGTGACGTGAGGCAAATGCAGTTACCAATAGCCCGTTCTCTGCTGTGTGTTACACAACGATAAAGGGGAGACTGACACTTGCTTTATTTCGGTGGAAAATTGGCTGACGATAGGAGGAAAGGATGAAAAGATTGGCTGGCTGGGAAACCCTTCCCTTTGCAAGCGGTGGTACCAAATTCATGTCTCTGAAACCCCGTTGGTTTTCAATTATGATAGGATGTGCTAAGCTTTCGGCAAAGGCAAGCAAGGCATTTAAGTGGAACGCCTTACAGGTATTTTAAACCTATGATTTACACTGTGCTGTAAGGTAAAAAGAAAATATTGAAGCAATTACAGACTTGCTTCCCTCAAATCAAAAGAGAAGT